AGCTAATTAAGTCTGGACATCTAAGCCCCCAAGCTGAGGTAGTGCCTAGGGCCCTGGCTTTCAAACTTGGGTCTGTCTCTAAATCCCTAAGAGCTGATTAAAACCCAAACTCAAAGTTCTGGATTCAGGAGCTGCAGTGGGCCTGAGAGTTTGCATTTCTAGCAAGTTCCCAGGGGCTGGTAACCCAAGACCACGTGCTAGGGCTCAAGGTCTCACAGGACTGAACTGTCATGGTAATGATGAAGAATGCACCCCAGCACACTGTGCACAGCTCCAGCTGGGGCAGCCCACGCCTACGTGCTCAGCCATCCACTGCATCATCGCCCCTGAGAGAGGCCTCTGCTCCAGGATGGAGTGCAGCAGGCTCAGGAGCCCTGCAACCTGCAGCTGCTCACCTGCCTAGCAGAAAGGGGTTCAGTCTGCTGCGAAATGACCAATCTCATCTTACACCACCAGAGTGGTTCCCAGTCGAATGTGTGACCAGCAACCTAGCCAGGAACCACCTGGATCCCCGTAGCCAGTTGGCTGYCCACCCACATAGGAAACAGGCAATCCGTGGGCCAAGGAGAAACGGGGAGAAGCAGCTGGGTGCCTCTTCACAGAAGGGGCTGCACTTTACAGAAGCAAAGCCAGTKGTACACACCTGTAGATTAGGCTGGGCTGGCAGGTGCCCTGGCACCCGCTGGCCAGGCAGCCCCTCAGCCCCCATTCTCAGAACGAGGAAGTTCTGGGAAGCCAACCTGGGGCTCTTCACTTCAAGGGTCTGTTTCCCAAGACTCCAGCTGTGAAAGGCAGGCGCCCTGGGCATGCATCACAGGTGCTGCAGGAGCACAGGAAGGGGACAGGGGTGCTCAGGACAATCRGCAGTCCCTCCCCAGGCGATTCCATAGGCACTCAGCGTTCCTCCGTGAAGGGGCAGTTCCCACGGTGGACGGAGCTTTGTGGGTGTTTTTATGCCCAATCGAATCTCGCTTCCTCTACTCCATGCCCCTGACACCACGCCTGTGCCTTCAGGTGAAATGTGGCTGCTCCAGGGGACAAAGGCTGCTGGGGCGCTGCTCACAGTGCCTCAGTCAAGCGCCCCTCCTGGGAGCGTGGCAGTTCCAGCCACTCCGTAGGTCCAGGGTGCTGCTCACACCTCATCTRGCATCTATCCGGCATGAGCCAGTCTCTGATGGAAGCCACAGCCCTGTGCCACCAGGTGTCCATGGCGACCTGGACCCGCCCAAGCCAAAGCTATAAAACTGAGGAGCTGAGCTGCAGGTGGGCCTCCAGGCCACACTGCCTGCATTCCTWGCTCTCTTTTTTCTCTGTGCTTGTCCTCCCAGGCTGGGCTTGCAGGCACTAAGTCTTCCTGCTGTTGACAACTGTCAGGGCGGTCCCCTGAATTTACTTTGGATTTAATTCCGAGTGGCACTCCTCCTTTTCATGTCAAGATGTCCTGCCTCATTCCAGTCTTATTTTTTCCTCACCTCCCTGTGAACAATCTCCTCTGCGCAGCTCTCTCGACTCACACTGCCAAGCTGCCTCCAGCCATAGATGGACCTGGCTGCAGAGGACCAAACAGGGGCTTGGTGGCCTGCGGGCCAGGCCAGGCCAGATTAAAGGCAGGGGCTTTCTCACAGTTTGGTGTGAGCTGCACCCGCCCCTCTTGGGCTCAAAACTAATTTCAGTTCCACCTGAGGGTCCTCTGCAGAGGGGATTCTGGGAAGCCGCCTGTGGGCTGTGAGCAGCAGTGCCTGGAGGGTCTGTCACTCCCAAGTCACTTCAGGCCATCTTCATGATGAAACTCACAGTCACTGGCCACAAGAAGGGCTTCCACGGGCACTGTCCTACATTCCTGGCATTTCTGCCTACTCCCTTATGGGGCAAGGTGACACACGGCTGGCCTGACAGTTTGGAGGCAGGCCGGGTTGGGATCCAGGTCCACACTGTGCAGACTGGGCTACCCTGGGCAAGGGTGTTACCAGACTGTCCTAAGTTTCTTTTTCCCCACCTGTAACATGGGTTTCTCGAAATCTGCAGACATGTCAGCGCACAGACAGTAACTGGGATAGTCCAGGAACGACGCTGGACATCATGTGAGTCGTGATATTAGTGGAGGCACTGGCCTGGCCCCTATCTTACTGCCTTAGTGAGATGTAAGAACCGGGTTCTACTTGTTACAATGTTTCATGCAGGACGCCTTTGTTTTTAGCTTGTTCTGCAAAGGTTTCCCCACAGCATTGTAACTATTACAGAGAGATCCTTATAGAATTCTTATCTAACTGTGGCCTTCAGTTTTTCTTTATGTGAAATAATGTCACCATCCCATAAGAAGCTACAGAGCTGGAGCCTAGCGTGATGTGCGGTGACCACCTGTGCTGTGTGGGGGCTCTGGCTCTCAAACAGTCATCTGGACAGAGTTTTTCTCTATCATATATTTTTTACACTGTGTGTTTTTATTCCWCTGGTTGTTTTTTCTCTGTACTTAAATTAGTTTGAATTGGACCGAATATTAGGTTCTACCTAAGGAATCTGCATCCCAGACTCAAACCCCTGTAGGGCTGGGGGAGGCACAATGTGGGGAGCTCAGTTAGCATTATGTATGTGTCCACATTATCGAAGGTCAGCCTGGCCCAGCATGCACACACCCATGCTGAACTAAACCTCACTTTTTTGTGACTTCTTCCCATTGGCCCTATTTCTGACCTGTGAAGCTACTTTGGATAAATATGAAATAAACATGAAATACATTTATTGGAATTTTAGCTCAGATTGCCACCACAAACTGCCGCAGACAGGGTTGCTTAAGCAACAGAAATTCACTTTCTCACAACTCAGAGGCAGGAAGTGGGAGACCAGGGAGCCAGCGCCACTGGGGCCTGGTGAGGGCTCTTCCTGCCACGGAGATGGCGGCCCCTTCAGCGTATCCTCACACACAGAGAGGGACAGCAAGTTCACTGGCATCTCCTCTCACGAGGACACTGATGCTATGATGGGGGTCCCACCCTCGTCACCTTCCCTAAACTCACCTCCAAACATCGTCACGCTGGGGGTAGGGCTTCAACATGTGACTTGTGGGCATGGGAAGGGCACAATGCAGCCTGAGGGACAATAGCTGATAAAATGCGAACAAACGTGGGACACCTGAGAACCCCAGGTGTGGGCCCTGCAGTGCCCACACTGTCTCCCAGGGCTGCTCGGCCTTCGTCTTCCCGGTGTGAAGTGTCCAGCTCTTTTCAGCCCAACATGTTCTTTTTTTTAAAGGACAACACTTGGGCTGGGTTTGTAGCTCAGTGGGCAAGGCCTTGGGTTCCTCCCCAGCACAGACAGACAGACAGACAGAGGACAACMTGTCCATCCTTTTGAAACCTCTACCAGGTATCCTGAGTCTAACGACACATTCCGCACTCGGACCAGCTCTCCTCCCCTAAATGTGCATGTTCACATGGACAAATAAACTAGTTTTAGTTCTCTGAACATAGGGGGGAGCCAGGAATAATTAACACCCAGCCACTTTTAACTACCTCTACTACCTGCAGACACAATCAGGGTGGTGATCACTTTCAGGGTCAAAAGTCAATCAGGTGCACAAGCCGCGCATGTCCAACATTATTTGAGAAAACTGCCTTTCCTAGCTCAGAATGCGAGATTTATTTTGACCCAGGAGAGTTAGATGGAACATCTGTCTCTGCAGTCATGGGATCACATGGTCCTCTTCCCAGAGGATGAGGTACATAAGACAACTCTTTGCTGCAAACCAAAATTTCAGCCATCTTCAGCCATATGACAGACCTTCCCCCCAAATACTGTTCTTCTAGCAAACTGAGAATGGTGTGCTCCTTACACCCTAGTGTGAGGCCCAGCCCTCCCCAGCCACCCAGGAGGGCACAGCTCATGCACTGTCCACTGGTTGGGGCGCCAGCCAATGAGAGAACAGAGTTGATCAGAGGACAGCCTGTCCTCCTCCAAGCAGCTCCTGTTACTGCAAGTGTCCCAAACAAATCCCAGACAACGCATTGGGATGTTCAGGGGTGGGGGGAAATGTTTGCTAAAACCAGGTCCAACATGTCCACAGCACAGGGCCTTYGTATATCTTTAAAACAAACTTGTACCTGGATCGTTCATGTGGGTTCCTCTGGTCACAACCTGTAAAACAGGCACCACTCTCACACCTTTGCATGTGAAGAAATGACGCGGGGAGCTTGCGGCCCTGCCCAAGCCCCCTGTTAGGGAGCAGGTCAAAAATCAAAGCCAGACCTTCCTACTCCAAGGCTGAGCTGTCTCCGTCACACCATGGCAGCTGAGGATGGGTGTKCAGAAAGCCCAGCAGGATGAGATCCAGCTGGAGAGGTGCAGCACTCACCCGCCTCCTACTTCTAGACCCTGGCTCTGTCTCCAGGGCGGCTCCCCAGCTTCATGGGGTAGTTCCTCAGTTTGGGGGTCATTTCATCTGGGGGAATGGAGACCTCTGTGAGGATGAGCAGGACTGGGGAGATGGGAGGCACGTGGTCAACCAGAAGCCTTCCTCCTGCTGCAGAGCTGGGCACCCAGGGGCGGCCCTGGAGACAGAAGAAACCTGCTCCCTCAGAGCGGGAGTCCTCCCTTCCACAAACGCAGACCCTCCCACCAGAGCTGCGTCTGTAGAATCCTTCCTAACTCCACTGCACCTGGGTTTTTATAATCAAGAACAAGAATCACTGGTTTTCTTTCTCCCACACATGAATCTCTGGTTGGTGATTTGGGTAGTCTCTGGGAATCATTTTCACCAGGTTTTGTCTCCCCAGACACACCTGCCTTTACATCTTCCAAATGAAATTACACGGATGATGCAAAATACTACTTTGTGTGTCATAAGTATTCAAAACTGCCCGTTACACCAATCACTTCACCACATGAATATTTTTAATGCTAAGTAACAAAAAAGCTTGGGACATAGTAGACATGAAAGAATCCCCTAGCAGAAATAAAAACGCAATGTCAGAGAACATTTCTTTCATCCCTAGGAGCAGCCTCACCTGTCTCCACCGGCAAAGCCTGTCCTGGCGATCAGCGTCCACCAGTGGCCTGGCTTCCCTTCTCCTAGGAGCATCCTGAGGCCTGGGATTCAACACTGGGGAGAGATATTTGAGGTATCAAGAAGCTCAATTTGTACTACTGTTCAGTGCTGTATAAGTAGGAAAGAATGTGAATTCACATTGAGATAAACACTTAATATTGAGGATCCAGCTTAATGTTTGAACAGTAAATTCTTAATTTTGGAATAAACCTTGGAATTTACAGTTCTTTCAACTATGAATTTTTTTTTCTTTTTGGAATTTCAGCATTCAATATTATTTATATACTTAAATGCTGGTGGATAGTTTTGTCATCATCTCCAAGTCAAAAATTTTACTGTAGATTATTAACTCATAATATTCTAGAGAAAACTGACCTTTTTCATTTGGGGGAAGACCCAAACCATGCTTTACATATTTAAACACCCCAAAATTATAGTGAACAACATTTGCAGTCACCTATTTGGATAAAAGTCCTGTATTTCCCAGAAATTGGTGCTATTTTTCTTCTGTGAATATTTATGAGCGGGTCTCTAACCTCTCTAGGCTCAGATTTCTTCCTACCAGACATTGAGGTTCAGTGCTTGACTGTCACAGTTCGATAACCAAAGGATATGGGAAGCTCCAGGTGCAACTGCACAGATGCCACTTTAATTAATTCATTCCTCCTTTTTTTTTTTTTTTTGTATTGGGGATTGAACCCAGGGGTGCTCTACCACTGAGCTCCACCTCCAGCCCTTTTTATTTTTTATTTGAGACAGAGTCTCACTAAGATGTCCAGCCTGGCCTGGAACTTTCAATCCTCCTGCCTCAGCCTCCCTCAGATTCCCAAGTCACTGAGATTATGGGTGCGTGCCACCATGCCCAGCTCACAGTACTCTTTTGTAAAATGTACGACAATTACTAGTGGCCAAGAGCAATGTTGAAGGCAAATGAGCTTCTGAATGGGCAGCGGAAAAGACCTATTTACCTTCAAACAATTATGCTTTCAACATTGAGAATGTTTGGGTTCTCTACCTTCTTCAACTAATTAAAGCCTCTGTTCAGGGGTCCGAGCTTGGGTGTTCATTCAGAAAGATCCACAGGCTCTGAGTTCCCGTGGCTTTCGGTCCTGATAGCACCTTCAAATCAGAGGTTCACGGAGAAAACACAAAGCCACCTGCCAGCAGTGACCAGCTCCAAGGCCACTGGCCTTACTCCAGCTGGCGGGCACTGGTGGCTTTCCACACGTCACCCAGCAGGAGCAGCTTGGCTCCTTCAGGAATTCCTCACACACACGAAAAGAGCCACTGGCCCTTTTGCTCTAATGCACCACCCCAAACACTTCACTTGGATTTTTCCATTCTCAAAAAAAAAAAAAAAAAAAAAAGTCACTCAACTAACAATGTTCATTTCGATCTTCTCTGGAAGTTAACTTTTCATGCTGTTGCTTAGGACATCTGCACGTTGGCCCAGATTTCTTTAGACATTTTCATGGGAGCACGCTAACGCTATATGGAGGTGAGCACTGCCATAAACTAGAACCTAGGCGGAGCAGCCCAGTATGAAGGTAAAAGATCATGGTCCCCTGAAAGTATTTTGCTGAGAAGAAGACTGAAATCAGCCTGTGGTCACCTCTGTACAGGCATTGCCCAGCTCTGTGCCTGACCAGAGTGAACAGGTAACAAACCCACTAGGCCTTCACCACAGAACACTGCAAACCTCAGACAAGGGAGTGCTTACTAACCCAGCTCTACAAAGCTCTAGTGGGCTCTGGTCCAAAGCCACGGCCACAGGGAGACACTGCCCACTCACACCCTGGTCAGTGGGGCGAGAGTCACTGACCCTCAGGCTGTTGACATCTCATAGGCACAAAGACTTTAAGAACCTATAACAAGCTAAAAAGTATGCTCTCAAAGGGTAAAGGATGCGGCTGAGGTGAAACCCACTGCCTGGCTTTTCTGGCTCTTAAACCTCTCGACAAAGTAAATTTACCCTACGAACTTCCCTGCGGCCACTTTAAAATCTCACATTCTCAATGGCTCAAAGCCTCTTTGGGAACACTTTTTTGTCTCCTTTAGGCCATTTATCACCTGTGTTTAAGCACAGTTCTTGGCAAGAAGTAAACACTCCTCATTTATTGAAATGGATTTCTTCACTCTGGTGAGAAGCAGCCCTGGAACCGTCCTGAGGAAGAGGTGCGTGGCCTGTCCCTCTGAGCCCTGGTTGGTGGTGTGGTCAGAGCACTGAAGGCAACCAGCAAACACAGCCACGGTCCCCAGTGCCTATTTTATTATGAAAACCCATACGGCCTTGAAATCTTTAGGAACCAGCTGTCCTACCATCTTAACCCGACTGTGAGACAGCATCACTGCTTCCCAGAACCAACTGCTAAAAACGTTAAGGCAATTATAGAAATCCACAATAAAAAATAGGAAATATACAAACTTTTAAATTTTATATTTTGGAGCTTTTCTTTGATTTCTGTTCCGTGACCTTCCTCTTGAACCAGCTTCCAAAACCCTTCATGGTCACTCATGTTCTTCAAGATTCCACATCTGGTCAGTTCATTCTGCAACCCTATAATCTTACATTCAAAGAGAACAAATATATTAGAGTGATATTTTTAATGACAAATGATACATCAGTGGATGATTTAAAACACTGAAGTCCTCTTACTAAGCCCTGGAGTGTAATGTCTGGGTAACCTGCAGCTCATCTGTTCAGAAAAGAGTTACTTTCAATAGCAACTGACACCYACAAAGTTCCACCACACCTTCAACTGTCTCTGTCCCTAAATAATGGGTTTAAAATTAAAGGGGACCATCTGAAGACAGGCGGACTGTTCTCTTCTCATTGGTAGCTAGAGTTACTCTAGGTTACTCTAGGGGACCTTGGGGACCTTGGCAACAAGGAAGCCTTAAGGGAGAAAAGAGGGACCAACAGGTTTGAGGACATTGGGAGGAAAGAGACAAGACACCTTTCCCTAAAAAGCCATTTTCTAATTGCATCTCCCTTTGACCTGGGGAGTCTTGAATTGTCATACTCTTACTGATTGCCACACAGGGATTTCCTGCTTGTGATAAAACGTGTTTTTGCCAGTTGAGCAGAAAACAGACGTCAGGACCCTCACCGATTTCAAATATAAATTCATGTCTTAGACATTAGGGCACGTCTCCAACTGATAAGGCCAGATTTGGGAACCACCTGTGGACATGTCAGGTAGCTTTTTAAAACAGTGAGCCCAGGAGAACCCCTTCAGGCACCCAGGACTTAGAATTTGAGGGTCTCCTTTTCCTTTCCATTTTCAGTTTGTCAGAAGTCAAAACTACAATGAATTTGTAGATCTAAATGGCTTTTATTTTTTGATTCTAGAATCAAGCAACTGAGCTGGGGAGGCTGTTTCACAGACAGAAAAGGTGAAGAAAGGAGGAGAGCCTGGACTGGACGCTCCAAAGGGGGTAAAGGGACTTCCTGAGGGGCAGGTAAACTGAACCGTCCAGATCCACCGAGGTCAGTCTCCTCTTTTGAGACCTGATTGGATAGAGAGCTCAGAGCGCAGTTTGAGCGCCTGGCACCTGGCACCGTGACTCCGTTCTGGCCTGGAGCCCCTGGCCACAAGTTCACTCCTTAACCAAGTCGAGAATAAAACCAGGCATGGCCAGGACTCTAAAAAGCCCGATGGGGGCTGTTTGATGAAGAAAGTAGCCTTCATCAGCACTTGTCTTCTGCCCCCATCCCGAGAAATGAGACAATTCTAGAGCAGACACGAGAATTTTTTGTAATCTGGTTTTATGTGGCGAGTGGAATCCCTTAGACACCGGGGAGGTGGCCCTCTGCAGCCCGACCCTGCCTCCCTCGGCAGGAAGCGCTTTCATCCTTCTCAAAACAGTAACGTCTAAACGACAGGGAGGTCTCTGCGAGGCTCAGGTCCAACCCAAGCCTCTGGCACAGAAGACAGCCCCTGGAGTGGTGGCGGGCTCGGGGTGGTGGGGTCTGGGGTCTCCCCTTCCGTCCTGGAACTGGGAGGCCGCGGGCCGGCCGTGCCCCCACTCCGCCCTGGCAGAGGGGCTCCCCGGAAAGGCCTGCCCAGCTGGGGGCTGGGCTCCCGGGTCGTCCGCAGACGCACAGTGGGAACAGCGGTGGGACCCGCAGATCCCCCGAGGCCGGGGGAACTGTGCGCGGCCCTGCAGCGCCGCGGGTCCTACCAGGTAGACGCTGGCCCGCGGAGGGGACCGCAGGCGCCCGGCCTGGGGCGCGACTTTGCACGGGGTCACTGGCACAGCTCCGGGCACCGGCTTCAAACAAGGACAGAAAAGGTGGTCAGTCTTGGGATCAGTAGCTGGGAACAAGGCTGCAAACAAATGACAAGTAAACATCCAGCCACAGGAAGCCATTAAGGAGAGTGGGCGCTAATGAGCGCGCCGCGGGGACCCCGCCGCCCGTCGCGCGCCCCGCCCGCGCCCGGGAAACGACCGGGGATTGCCGAGCCCGGCAATTTGGAGCCCAGAGCCCCGCTGGCAGGCCATAAACCTGTTTGTAGTCTCCCTCGGTTCCCCTTCAAGTCTGTGTCATTAGAAGCTGCAATGAATGTCATCCCTAGGAGTACTCAGGGGAGAGCGCGGGACTCGGGGTGCTGTGATCTCGGCCCCTCTCACCGTGCAGGGGCGGGGCCTCCCGCCGTCTCCCCACCCGCAGACCCGCCACTGGGAGGAAGCCCGAAGAAGCGCTCGACCCATTTTTCAGGGAGTCTTTTGAGGTTGTTTCTCTTAAAAAGCGACCTTTCGGAATGACCACGAGCTCCCCGAGGCGCAGCGCCTGGAGCCTCAAACCTCTCCTAAAGAACTGTTTTCCTTTAATGAGCAGCGGTTTGTCCTGCGACGATCAACCTCCTCGTACTTTCCGGGCTAAACTCTTGTAAGAAAACGTCTCGCTAGGCACGGAGGCTGCTCCGCACAGGTTCCACCCCCGGCGCGGGCTCCCTCGGCCCAGCTGTTCGCACAGCAGAGACACCCAGCGGTCAGCCCGCGTCCCTACGGCAGCGACAAGGATGCCGCTCCTGGGGCTTGGTCCTTGAGCCTCCCACCAGCCTTGTGCAGGACCGCTGCGGACCACACACAGAGCAGGGTTAGGCGCGGAGAGACTGCCGACAGAGCTGTGCCTTTTAGGCTTGTTGGTCTTGAACATTTTAGGAAGTACGTGGGAAAGTGGCTTAAGGGTACATTTCGTCTACACTAGATATTTGTGGAAGCAGGTATTCCCTAAGCATTACCCAAGGCTTGAGAACTGCTTCTTTATGATTGATTTCCTTATATGTGATAAATTCCCTTGGCAGGAAGAAGAGAACACACTCAATCATAAGTTTATTGTAATTGATACATTGATTAAATGTGAGGAGAGACAACAAGTCGCTTTAACTAAATAATCCTGGGCTGGGGTGAAGCTCAGCATTTCCTAACATTCAGGAGGCTCTAGGGTCCATCCCCAGCACCACAAAGAAAAGAAAAGAAAAAGCTCTTAAACTAAATGATCCCAAAAGAAACTGTAGTAAACGTCCGCTCTCGTGTGTGTTTCTGTCAGTCTGTCTCCCTCAAAATTAGTGAAAATACATTTTCACTTGTATATGTCATGTGTTGTGCCATAAACATTAAAGTTGGAATAGTGTGGTTGAGTTTCTGTAACGGAATTACTCTCTCTGGTCTTAACTGCACTAGAACTCAAAAACTCATGAATTTAATATAATATGTGTGTTTTATTTTTAGTTCTAAAGCAACAATTTTGGTCCTGAGGCTAAAACTTCCAATAAAAGTAGTTGGATTAGATGGTCTCTTCTGGAGCTAAAATTTTAGATTCTCTAATGATTTTTATTTACAATATCACATTAATATATGCGCAGGGTTTTGAAAGATCCTTCTGAACTGCCTGGAGAATTCCTCCCGCCTGCTCCTTCCTTACAGAGAGCCCTTATAGATCCATTCATTCCCTTCTCCTGTTATCTTCCTCTCCCTCTAGCGATAGTTAAGGTGTGTGAACACATGGTCAGTCACCCTCTCACTTGGATATTCACTCCAACTGTGACTGGTAGCTGGAGCTACATAAACTCTGTCCAGTCCCTCAAAATGTGTGTGAGGCAGAGTCTCTCTTCACCCACCACCCACTAAAGTCCTTAGCCTTAGGCGCTTGGAAAAGACGGGAAACTGGTGAGATGGCCCTCAGGAAGGTGAGACCTGGAGACCACCAGCCACCACTCCCCTTCCAACCCAAATACATCTTCTGAATTGAAACAGGACCTAAAATTTAGGGTACTCAAGTTCAGCTTTCCTCTCCACAGTGCCATTAGCATAGACTTTAAACTCTGCATGAAGGTTTTACAAATCAATGCAGGTGGAGCCTCAATTAGACTAGTCAGCTAGGAAACCAGCTCTTCCTGGGTGTGGTAAACACTGCAAGTGCCTTTGTCTTTGATCCCACTCACTTCTAATTAGCAAGAAAGCAACTTCATTCGTTAAAATTTGTTAAGTAATGTTACAAAAAAAATAGTGATTTCTGAGGTATCTTGCTCAGACAGAGACAGCAAAGGGTGGAAGCAAATTTGGAGTTGGGATTGTGCCACCTCACCATGGCTGCCAGACACTACCCCCAAACAGCTCTCCTTTCCTTTGTTTGGAGAATTGAAAATCAGATGAAATGATTTCTGAAGTTAGTTTGATTTTAAAAGTGTACAAAATTTGCATTTTTCATATTTTTGGTCATAAGAAGAATGGAGTCACTAAAAAGTTTAATTATAGCCATTAAGATCTTCAATAAATCAGTGACAGAAATATTTTTGCCAAAAAAATTTGATTTTTTAGAATTATCAAAAACTTATATACCAACTTAAATATTTGCTGAATATTATTAAGTCCTTTAAACCTTTGCATTAGAGGATGATCTTTTCCTGCTTTTACTTTCAGTAAGGATTGTTTTAAACTTTACTGATAGGATGAAGCTTTGAGTAGGAAATCCGTTCCTTAGTGCTGTAAACATTTTGTTAAAAGTTTTTTTTTTAATTTCCTCATAGGAACATGGTTCAAAGTTTATTGCATTTTAGTAATTATTTCTCTGCACAAAAGCCCAAGCATTAGCTAGGTATCAGGATAAATTCCATATAAAATGCAAGTCCTTTGTAGCTTCTAAATCTCCTGAGGATGTTTTCTACAGTCTCACTGCAGCTTTAAAAAGGAGGACAAGAAAAATGCCAGCCGCCACCTTCTCCCCTCTCATTATGGGGTCCCTGCCGGAACCTGGTTAAGGAGTAGGGAAGAGGGGGTCATTTTCCTTTAAAATGGAGACGAGTTTCTTTTCGGGAGGAAATTCCCTGAGGAAGTTGTTTTAAAACAAATAAATGTTTAGGATGAGGCCAGCAAAAGGTGTGAGGGCCCCTCTTTGATTTCCCAGTTTGTGTATTTGGGCTCAGACAACTTTCTATGCACATACTAATCAAATGCTAATGTGCCTCCTGCGAGGACTCCGGTATTTGACACTAGGTTCTACAAACAGAAACGGTTTTGGTGTATTTTAATCCCATCAAGGTGCTTTGGGTGGGAGGGAGGCGGTGCTGGGGGAGGTGGAAGATCTGGTGCCTGGGAATGGATTCTCAGTTTGACTTCCAGTAGGTCCAGAGCCCGGTGACTTAGGAATGATCTCCACGTCAATTTCTCTGAAAGATGCAGACGTCTCCTTCAAAGTCTTCGGGTGACTATTTATTTACCCCTCCTACTCCCCAGGGCGTTAGTTTCCAAATTTGAAAGTGCATCAGAATCACCTGTGGGGTGATTGAGGGCCCCACCCCATTCTGGAGCAGCAGGGCTGTGTGGTACAGAATCTGTTTAGGACAGGCCCCAGCAGGGTGAGGACCCCACAGGAGACCAGGGATCCAAGTGTTATCTTAGGTCTCCGACGCTGAAGACTTCATTGTTCCCACAAAGGGCCGCAGACAGGGGCTGGTCTGTCTGTCTTACTGGGTAAAGAAATGGTGCTTCTTCATTGCAACAGGAAGCGGGTTTGGAAGGGCCTTGGTGGGGCTGGGGAAAGGCGCCCTTTGAAGACCCAGGGCGCTGGGTTTTTTCCCTACAGCGACTCCCAGGGCAGAGAACCTCCCTTTCAGCATGCATTGTACTCAGCAGTCATTCTGAAAGGTGTGAGGTGACATCTTACTGCGACTAAACTTGCATTTCCCTGGTGGTTAAAAGTGGGAGCAGATTTTCATATCTCTTCCTTTGAGACGTCTGTTCACATCCTTTGCCCATTTTAAAATCAGTTCCTTTGTTTTCTTGTTGAATTCCTTCTCCAGGCTGGATACCGATTCCCCTCTCTGTGGCTGGCCCTGTGTCCCCCTCGCTGTGAGGAAGCCCCTCTGTTTGGTGCCTCCTCCTCCTCTCCTCCGGCTCCTGCTGCCTGTGCTGTTGGAGTTCTGCCCAAGGCACTGTCAGAACAGCTGCGGAGCTTCCCCTGGGTTTTCTTCTAGGAGCTGCTGCTTCCCACCTTCTGTTCAACCCCTTCAGTCCTTTCCACTGGTTTTTGTAAACTGTGAGATAAGCTCCAATTCCGCTCTCTGCGCGTGTGGACGGTGTGTTTCCCCAACACTATTTACTGAAGAGACTATTCTTTCCCCACTGTGTGTTCTAGGCACCTCGGTCTAGAGTCAGTTTGCCACTAAACTTGGGCTCTGGGTCCTGGCACCTGCTCCTCCCTCCTGTCAACCCATTCTCAGAGTTGCCCTCAGGGCCGCCCACCCTCATCTTCCCACTTAAATCCTAAGTCCCTCTTAACCTGCCTACTTTTCCCACAAGACACACCCCCTTCCAGTGCGCCAATCTGATCTACCATGTTTGGTACCCATCTCTGCTTTATACACACTAAGCTGCAGGAAGGCAGGGAGTCTTCTCTTTCTCTGGGGAGACAGTGGAGGACAGGAGGTGTATGTGCTGTCAGTATGTGCTGAGTGAATGAGATGAAGATACCTGCAGTGTGAGGGCCCAGGTCACCCGGGCGGCTTTCCCACCTCAGGCGCCCACTAATTGTCACGAGCTAGTTGTTCATTTCTATTCTCCACAGGAGGTTCCGTTCAAGGAGCATCTTAGCCTGGGTGTCCTCAAGCTCCTTAAAGCAAACCACAAAGCACAGCCCACACCCAATCGGGAGGAGTGGGCTGCACTAGCAGAGACCCTGGGTGGCCCAGGGGACCGGCACATCTGGGAAGACAGCTTCACCCCCTCCTCTGAGATCTTAAATAACGCATCCAAGGGCTTGCCCTCACCTGCAAAATGGACCCAGGAAGATACACACAGTCAATTCTCATTTGCAATCACCTCCTTGCTAAAAGGTATTTGTAACCCAGGCATCAACACTTGGGTATTCTTGCATTATTCACAGGCAGGCAGAGCGGCCAGAGTCACCCAGCACAGGTTCCTGGCTGAGCCGGAACAAGGCCACACACTCCCCTTGGCTCCCATAGCATCCTTTACAACCTATTTATTGCCACGTTTCACATTCTTGTGCCTTATACCGATGACCTCACTGTTCACACCGGCCGGGAGTCTGCTCAAGTGTGGGCAAGAGGGCCGTGGTGTGTCCCGTCCTCTCCAGCTTGAGTGCCATTGCTGGGAAGCACACGTGAAACAAGGCCATCAGCAAGGGAAGAGGCTGAGACCAGAGGCTGGCAGGAACCGAACCCGGGCTCCCCAGGAGCGTTTGCTGTAGAAGGTGACCTGTGGATGAGAACTGGCTGCGTTTTCTCTTAGCACACAGGTCCTGCCTCGCGCCGGGGCCTGGTCCCCGGGCACCATGGCTGCCATGCCACAGGTCTCACCCACACTGCACAGAGCAACTGAGGAGAGGCACCTCCGAGAACGGCACGGAGCTCCACAGGCTTCAGGACTCCCCAAGGAGGGGCTCAGTGAACACTCCCCCTTCTTTCCTCCTTATACAACCTGATTTTACTGAGAGACTCATGTTGGAAGCGTAAACTCCAGAGTTGGGAGGTGGGCCTATGGGAGGGGTTTGGGTGCCCAGGAATCCGCCCTTGTAAACTGATGAGTGCCATCGTAAATGGGGCTTTGAGAGCTGGCAGTGCTTTGCGGTGCCGGGGATGACACCATGGGCTGGTGYTTGCTGGGCCACCGCTCTGCCCCTGAGCCACACACCTC